GTTTTTACTGTAGCAATCCACGTTCTGAAAGAGTATATATGGTGGTCACCGTCTTTCCAAGGAGCATCTTTTGTCTTAATTCTCTGATCTCAAAATTGGGTCACTCGAAAACCAGGCTTGTATGAACTCCTTCGTCCAAAGCAAATGTGCTTGATTTAAATTGTAATTTAATGGAGCGTTGCAAAGCAGAAGAAGGTAACAAGTTCACACATTACTTGGTTATCGCCTTATCCTCATGTCGCCAGTTTATTCCTCGGATAGTTTATTTTCTTAACGATAATCGTAGAATAATTACCGTCTTATATACTGAAAATGAGGCCAATCATTTCCTGTTGGTGTAGGTTTGTTCTCCAACCTAGAAGTGTTTTTCGAAGACGGTTCGTCGCCAGGCTAGACGAAATCATCAGTGTGAATTCGGAGAGGCGCCGGTCCCCAGTGTGATCAGGCTTATGTAGTTCTGTCCAAGGGTTTTGATTGGTTGTTTTCCACTACCAGATAAACAAGTATTCTCAGAAAAGGGCAGCCAGATTATTACAACCGTGATGAATTTTGGTCTCCCACAAGACAACAGCGACAGTGAAGGCTATCCTATCAAGGCCAAAGGATTAACTGTCAAAGGAAGATTCCTCAAACGTCGTGTACGAATTAAAGTGTCGAGACTGCAATAAATACTGTGGGACAAATCAGTAGGAAACTCAAGACACGACTATACACACACACTGGCGGTTAAAAGACAAAGAGGAGAGAGGTCGCAAATCTCAGCACTTTTCGAACTGGACAACACAAGAATAGTCGAAAGAGAAACCACAAAGTTAAAACGGGAATTTATCGAAGCATGGCACTCCAGGAAGGACAGTACAAAAAACATAAAACTGCAACCCATTTATCACTATCTAAGGACACATTGGTGACCCAAAACTTTCCCAGCGAAACCGGTCCAAATCCTGTTCTCATCAGTTCGGAACCGGTTCAAACTGGTTTGTGTTTGGTCCCAGGAAGGCAATCGACTAATATGAAAAAGGGAATTGCAATGAGAACAAGGCAGTCAATCAAATCACAACAAATGGCCGCCATTGACCAATAGGATTGAAGGGACGCAAACAGCCAATCAAAACCCTTGAACAGGTCACACTGAGGACCGGCGCCTCTTTGAAGTTGCACTGATGATTTCGCCTAGCTTGGGGACGAACCGTCTGCGAACAACACTTTCAGGTCAGGGAACACACCAGCACCAACACTCGCATCCCGTGCAAAATCCATTCCATAGTAGTTCTACTGTTTCCATTTTGTCCTCCGATACCGTAGATAGATCGCTAGGACGCTCAAAGCCGACCTTGATGCTTTTGACATTACACTATACAGCTCATATAGTCGTAATACATAGCGCAAGCTCAAGCACCTACCTTAGCGTATATTGCTATTGCAAAAGCAGTGAACATATTTCCCTCGACCGCCTTTCACTTACGTGGGACTTGACGCCCTATCGAGATGGTTGCTATCTGGGTGTTGATGTAATGCCAAAAAACTGTTTTTTTCTGGAAAAACCAGACAAAAAAATCAGTTGATTGACCAGAAACCTACTGCTAACAAACATGGTTCAGAACGATCCTGTTAATCGATCGTTATGCATACACGTTTTCGTGTCTTTTCTCTGACATAAATAGGCAGGATTTAAGTGTGATAAATGAGTTCTCACATGGTTTCATCACCTGTGGAGTCACTGTTTGGATGAGGAACATTATTGAAAGTTAAATTAAAAAATCCAGGATTGAGACAAACCCATGTGGGTATAACAGCTTTCATTGACCAAAGTCCATCCAGAACTACTTCATAATTGCTCTGACTCTTTTTCGCCGACTATCCGGATTTGTTTGCAATACTGTACACATTAGAAGACTACAATTTTAGGCTACGTCTGTGTGGTGTTGGTGTTTGAAGGAGCCAATTAATCAACTGGCTACTGCCCTCGGAAGAAGAAGCCGAGAGTCAGTACCGGTCTCAGCTACTATTTATCATTCTGTGAATTCTCTTTAGCGAGTTTTCTCGCGCTTGTGAAACTTCTTTCTTGTGTTTCCTAATCCAGCTTTGATCACTTTTCTTCGCTGTTTGATCCCTCTGTATCCTCCACTTTGGTTGTGCAGACGTATTTCATGATGGATTTGTCGTTTGAATGAAACGTGGAATGAAAAGCCAGGAAGCTCTGAGCAGCTGTTTTAACGCAGATGGTGATCAAGCCCGGGATCGCACACGTATAACACAGCATACCATCGACTGGACCACAGAACAGCTTATAAGACTGTTTTTCATTTTGATTGTACACGGTATAGCGCAACAAATCTTTGCCAGCCTAATGCGTGCATCACACCTCGCGCATTTCGATACTAGCCTCCAGTGTTGTGGTTCAGTTGTCTAGCAGACAAAAAAGGTGGTTTGGAGATGCCACTCGTAGAGTGTACGTTCAATCTTTGCACGATGGGCTGTACGTCAGAGATCGAACTGCAGTTTTTTTCGGTCATTTTCGATCATCCTGCTACAGGTAACTATCTCCTCCAACTTCTCGGCACAGTATTTTTTTCAAGCTCAGACTTAATTCACTTTGAAGAAACTGCCTCTAAGCAGTTTAGAGGATTCAACTTACCGTATTTACCTTAGCGCACCGGACTCTTATTATTAATATTTTGTTCTGTTGAGCGCTTAGTTTTAGCGATTTTGGATGCCACCCATTCAACCCTCTGGTGCACCTCATTTGAAGAACAAGGGTCTTGATCCTCGGGGTGAATCGCCTTATAGCTGAGAGTATTACGTGTGTTTAAATACATTTTCTCCCTTAATGCGATCATTTTTTTCACTATTTTACATCTCTTTTGTCTCTAATCCCGGGGTTCCGGATATAAAACAGGACTGGTCTAGTTACTTATTGCTCAGGCCTATCCAGTGAATCATTGCAGCTTCAAATCCTCTATATCATCTCAATTAACGCGTGTGTTGGTAGCTCAGTCAGTTTCATTACATCTTTGACCTTCCTGTGATCCTGTGAACCTCTATTTATAAGGCATAAGGATATTCCTATTTTAACCTGGCATTATTTTCTCTCATGCTTGAGGGGTGAAATGTTCTACCCCAATCTTGGTAAATTTCTTCTCATGTCTCTCCAGTTGTTTTTCCTAAGAGATCAGTTCATTCACGTTTTCACCAAACACATTGATTCTGTCTCTCTCGTTCTGACGGCCAGCCCTTCCGCTAAGGCTAAGCGTATGCAGCCAATCATTGTTTCTTATGTAGGTTTCACATGTGCTTCTATTAATGTAGAATGATCCCAGTATTCACAACAGTTGTTTTGAATTTCACTTAATATGAAATTCGGCATTCGAAAGCTTAACATCATCTAGATTTTATTGCTTAAGAACTTAGAAGTCCAAGGGTAACTCTGACACTTCAAAATGAAGTTCCAATGATGCTTCGTAAGAAATGACATTACTTGGTTTCGATTAGGTAGTACACGGGGAATAACCAAAGATCTCTATTTAATAGGTCGACAGGTACTTATTTGTATGAATTCTGTTTTGAACTTTATCGCATTGTAATTTGGGACTTCCGGAGTTATCTTTGCCGTTTTCGAACCTTTGAACCGAGTGTTCAAGGGTTTCACTAGTTCACATAAAGAATTGATGGGAGAAGCGCAATCAGCTCCTAAGAAAACATGGTTCCGAAACTTGGCTAACAAATATTAGACTGTAGTTTATTCAAGCAGCTTTCCTGTATTGGTTATTTCAATAATTTGAATAAGCTCTCAATCGGCTCATTTGTGCACAAGACCTGACACTCACGCATGTATATGTCTCATTCCACCTTTACTGTATTGCATTGTATTGTATAACTTCTGTAGGCATATAGCCTACGTTTCAGTTAAAAATGTACAAGTTGAAGCGAGGGAGAAAGTAAAGAATAATAATGAAAAAAGAGATTTAAATACCCAAAAATGTTAACAAAACCTTTGAAAACCTGTTCTTCGTTACTGCCCGATGATTCCACGTATTACAAAATCTGAAAATTGTATCATTGGCGTTAGACATGTTTATCAGTAAGGCACGTTTTGTCATTCATTGATCCCCTCATAATAGGATCTTTCTATCTTGAGATAGCTTTGTCATGAGATCAGGGACAACTCGAACTTAGAAGGTGAGGAAGGTTCCGGTGAGAAAATTTTTGAATTATCCTGGGGGAACCCATCCGGTTCTGTGTGTATAGTGATTGGAACATTTATGATTTCTCTCCTGACGGAAAATGGCATTACTGTCATTATAGTGATTTCCATTTTGGTTCAGTCCGTTGAAGACTAACATACCCACCCTCATCATTGAGAACAACACAGCGTGGCGAACAAGCTCCTTTCTGCTTAATCGTAATCATGATAATTCATCATGTATACATCAAATATTTCTAATAAAAGGATAACAGTGTCCAAAATTCAAGTGGTTGTATAAGTGTTTTGGGAAAATGAAGTGGGAGGTTAAGTGCTAGGACACACAGTCGTTTGGGTACACAAGGAGATTTGTAAATCCGAAGGCTGACGGTTTCGGTTTAGAATAAGATGTTTCAGTGTTCCTGATTGTTTATATCGAACCAACAACAACGGCACTAGTCCTGGGAAGTGAAGAACATAAATTCCCAAAGCTATACTTGTTATTCCATTTCGCCTGTTCGCCGAGCTTGGCAATTTGTTTGCAAACGTTTCATCACCAGCCGAGGTGACATCATCAGCACTGATGACAGGCTATTCCGAATGACATTTTCACCATAAGGACAACCGAAAAATTTCAGGAAGGAATACAAGAACGTCGGTTTTCTTATGATTCGTTATAATCTCGCTGCATCTCTGCATACAAATTGTTAGCGTCGGCAGAAAAATACTAAAAACAAATAAAATTCGCGAACGCCACCACAGTTAGGTAGCCAGGAAAGGGGATGAATAACTATTGCTTATCAAAGAAGAATTGGAAATGCTAACGATTCTAGCTGTTTGCACAGTTCCGGACGGTGATCATGAATGGTAAATGCCCCAGCATTTCGGAGTTAATTGTCATCGACGATATGAGCTACCTGTGTTTGAATGATGAAGTCATTGAGTTGAATATTTATATTTCCTGCCATTCAAAGTTTTCGATCATCCGATCATGTAAGGTCTATTCCTATCAATTTTGTGATCATTGATATTCCATCATCCGGTCCGAAATTATCCCCAAATAACCGATGAGGTTGATTTTCCTTTTTCCAAATCAATTGTTTGATTTTTTTTATCGTTGAACTGATATGTAAATTTGTCGTGGTATTTAATGTGATGTATTGTCATGACTACGAATCACTAATCTATCTACCAGAAGTGAATCCATCATAAGACTATTATTCTTTATACACTGAAGCACGAGTATGGCTTTTATGGCTAGTATTGCTAACAAAAATAATATTTTGAATAGGAAAGCAAAAATAAGTACTTCTACCTTCTGAACACTGTGCAGTGTTTGTGTGCTTGCAAAGTCTCCGAATAAGCGTTCATTTCGCAGTCCAATTTTTACTCTTTCTCACTTATACTTTTAGGTTTGAAAGCGTTTATACACACGCTTGTCAACAATGGACCACTTTCATCGGTTTCTTTCCGGCCTTTTCGCAATGGATTTCGAATCGTTTCTCACATAAAACGATAATTTCCGTCGGTTTTACTCTGATTTGTTTACATTTCGGATGGAACTCAATAAAACGGTACAGATTGCATCGTCGACTGCATCAAAAACGTGCTCGGATTGCTCAGAGAGCATTACGCATCCAAGCTAACCTTCCTTCCACGGTTGGACGTCGTACTGGGCCTACCCCTCTGACCGAATGCACACTAGACAAGATTCAAGCACTGCTGCGTTCCGGTGAAATCACCCCAGTAGATCTACTACATGCGTTTCAATCCAAAGTCTTACAGCTGTGGAATTCCGGCAATTCTGGTGTGTGTGAATTAGTCTTGGAAGCCAATGAAGAGGCTCGAAAATTAGACGGCACACTACTACAGAATGCTAAAACCGCTCCTCTTTATGGGGTTCCTGTAAGTCTGAAGGAATTGTGCTCCGTACGTGGATACGATGCCACTTTCGGATTATTGAAGCGGTGTGGACAACCACTTTTAGACGACTGTGTTCTGGTCAAGACACTTAGACATGAAGGCGCAATTCCATTTGTCCTCACAGCCACTTCACAGTTGGCTTTGGCCACATGTGGATTCAATCCGGTCGTTGGACGTCTGACTAACCCGCACTCTACAAACCATGAGCCCGGAGGGAGCAGTAGTGGTGAGGGTGTTTTGCTAAGTCGATATGGTTCGATTGTCGGTTTGGGTACCGATATTGGTGGCAGTATTCGTATACCAGCTCACTTTTGCGGCTTGACAGGATTGAAAACGACATCTCAACGATTGAGCACACAGGGCATCGCACGGCTCAACGAGCAGTCTGTTTTTATGCTACAGGTCTCTGTTGGTCCAATGGCTCGTCAAGTTACCGATTTGGTAGCAATGATGCGCACTCTCCTTCGTCCAAGCATGTTCTCTCTGGATCCAACGGTCCCGCCTATCCCTTTTAATGAAGCAATCTTTTCTGGCTTGGATAAACCGCGCTTAACCATAGGCTATTTCGAAACCTTCAAAGATCGAAACTTAATGGAAACTGTACCATCAGTGCGGCGTGCAGTCAGACAAGCAGTTGCTGTGCTTTCAAGACAGGGTCATCGAGTAGTGAAATTTGATCCTCCAGAACCGTTTTGGGCCATGCAACTCAGCCTGAGAGCGATATGTACTGATGGAGGTGAATCAACTGCGGACGCATTAACTATGGAACCACTTTCCAAGCACACTCGATCAATGAAAATAGCATCTAGGATTCCGAAATCATGTTTTCCTCTGTTAGATTGGCTTACACGGCGAATGGTTGGACCGCCAATGGCTCTTGCTCGATACGTCAGAGGTTTTCAAAAGCCAGATGATGCATTCTATTTGGCCTCAGATATTGTCACCTACCGGGGACGGTTTGCCGAGGCGTGGGCTGGGGCAGGACCATTGGACGCACTTGTTTGTCCTGTTTCAATTTATCCGGCCCCTTCACTTGAAATGCCTGCATATTTTGAAATACCTTCCATTGTTTACACCATCCTATTCAATTTGGTAGACTATCCAGCCGGGAGTGTACCGGTGGATCGTGTCATAAAGGAGGACATTGAACAAGCAAATCGTTTGATGACAGAGGCTCGCGAGAATGGGGATCGGCACTATGAGATGTTGTATTATCATCAGTCAGACACTCTAGGTTTGCCTCTTGGTGTACAGGTAGTTGGAAAGCCTTTTGAAGAGGAACTGGTTCTACGTGTGATGCGTGAGCTGGAACAATCTAAAATGGAATAATAAACCAGGATAGTATTTTTCCTTCTGATTTAGACATGTGTGCTTATGGAATATCCTCCTGTTCACGAAGATATTCTCAAACTTTTTAGTTTATGTAAAAAATGTTACTAAGGGTCACTTCAAACATTTTAGTTTTATTTAGTTTTATTTCGACTTTTATTTCGGAGATCTTCTCCCGCCTCCACACTTGTCCTGATAGAATCATTTTATCACTGTTTTTGCCCCGCTTATTTTCGAATTGGATTGTTTATAACTGTGTTAGCAATACTAATGTCAACGTTTCGTTTCAATATTTCCTTCTAATCTACACCCTGAGAAACATCCATAGGACACCAATAACATTGTTCTCAATTCCAGTGGCCATTCATGAAAAAATAACCCGAAACCCGAGACTACAGTGAAGCATCGAGAGGTGATTTACCTCGTTTCTGTTTGTATGAATGTTCTGTACATTATGAATGAACGCCACTAATGAGGATATAGTAAATAACCTTTTCACGTAGATTCCTTGTATACTGTATACGCTCTTGACCATTCTATACGAACCCCAAGACACATGGGTCTGCGTAAAGGTTTTACATTGCTACGAGATCAAGGTATTTGCGGTCCGCTGTGTAAGCCAGTTTGATCCAGGACACAAAACGTAGTAAGCTGTGCTGGTGACTCCCGACAAAGATGAAGTAGTTATCCAACGATTTTGGTCAGCCTTCAAACAAACTTCGCAAACTGAATCTGTAATATATTCACGGATTTGTGCAAGAAATATGGTACTGCTCTTTTGGATAATAACAACTACCACTAACTCGGAAACCTGTTTGACTGAAATCACTTCTAAATTTTACCAATAATATGGACGTTGTTTTACAAAGATGAATCGATGTTTGCGCTGTTCTCTGTCCAATAAATTTGCCGGATCAAAAAACACCCATATTAGGACGATACGTCGTGCAGTTAAAGATGTTTTAAGACCAACTGAAATTCTGTGGTACAAGGTCCATTTAGTGGCACTGATGAGCAAAACCTTTGTATTCTGATGAAAAAGATGACTTTGATGTCAGATGACTTTGGCACACTTGACTGTGGTTGATGAATCGCTTCTGTCAGTTTAGTTTGTTTTACTTTGACTCCCAGGAATATTGCGCGGTTCAGCAATAAATGTAGATCGAGTAAATAATGAACACGGTTCTGTGGACTAATCACGTGCATCTGCATAAGAATACTGAATAACTTCATTCAACCATATGTTTAATTTTGTCTGGTCAAGAGCGAACAAAGCGACTGCTGGTTAGACTCGACTGGGTTTCACCAGTAATGCGAATGCACCAACCTGTGTAGTTACATCACAATACTCATATCTGCCAAGAATATCGGCGATTAGTAATAGCCTAGTACAAAGTGCATATCAATGGCTTCATATTACTACTCTTCTGTAAGCCACATGAGCAAAATTATCCGGTATACGAACACGAATGTAGTTGGATATAAAACGCTTGGTTCCGGGTTTGATGATTGTGGGAGTGATTGGTTGGTATTCATCCTGATCGTCATGCGATTGACTGCCTCTAACATTTTATGCGTTGCTCTTTGAGTGTGACAAGTATTCTATACCAAACTTATTGATTAACTCGTCCCTGTTTGATGGCTATCGGTGGGGAACAACATTCCTACTAAACAGTTTATATTTATGTTACTCATTATCGCGAGAGTAGTACCAGTTTCTTATGAAAAATAATTCACTGAGGGTAAACCTTAAGAAATTGATTCCAATTGTATCACGGCACACATTTAATGTGAAGTTCACATTTCCCACTGTCATACGGACGTTTCGCCGTTGGATTACCATTGATTTATGGTGTATTTAGGATGAAATAAGAAAATGGACCACTCGGATACAGGAATCAATGTTGTCAATAGTACAGTCCTCCTGAACAAGTGTAAGATGAAAACCGTTGTACTAGTGGATCAGACGTGTTGAGGGGCTTTAACAGCACTTATTGGTGGATGAAATTCACAGCAGCAACATAAACAGAAAACAAGCCTGAAATATCACTTTCCAGACAGAAACGTGAACCAATTACAGCACTCGGTATGCGTAGCGTTTGCTCCATATTTGCTCAACCTTGGAAAACGAGCTCAAATAGAGTAATCCGATTGTAAAAGTAAACCACTAACCCTAAAATTTCATTGGCAAATATCTGCTGTCAGCGTCATCCAAGACATGCGTTTCAAGATGGAAACTGTTTTTCTAGAATAATTCATAGGAGACTTGTTATCTTATCTGACCAAATAACGCGTTCATGAACTGCTAATCGAAACGCTAAATCTGACATGATCAATAATAATTTATTATTTTTAGGTCGTTTGTGATGCAAATTGCAGAAGATATATATATATATATATAACAGTAACAGAACCTGGGGAGTTGGGATACAAAGCAAAGTAAAGGGGGCCAGACAGTTAGGTTGAATAACAAAAATAATTTATTTTTTCGTTACACCGTACACTTTTGATATGTTTAGTAATTCACTTTATTGTTTTTTATGTGGCACGGGATTTCAACAGACAAACAGTAGAGCATTCGTGCCACTGAGTTCTGTTCTACTCTGGGCCTTATCTTTCAGCGTCTTTAACCAACGATAATCCTCATCCCTTGGGCCCCAACTTGGAAGGTGAGCTCACACAACCAAAGCCAAATCTGTGGCTAGCTTCGTCGTATCTCCAGGTCAGGTCGTGGTCTGACCGCTAAGGCGCTTTTTCCAGCCCTTCCCAGCACTTGAAAAGCAAGCATGGAAAGGTGGACAATGTATAGGCATTCGCAAAATCTGACCAAGCCATCGGAGGCGGTGCACAGCGAGTACTTCTGTTAAAGAACGACTATACGCATCCAACACATGACGACGGACCTCATCATTGCTCACCCGATGTTCCCACCAGACACGAGCAATGCTTCAGAGACATCAGTGGTCAAATACAGAAAGTTCATTAGCACTCTCTAGACGGAGAGGCCAGGCCTCCCAATCGTAATGTACAGCAGTACGAACCGCGGCGATGTACACTCTTCTCTTAAGGGACAAGCTAATGCCATGGCGGCGCCACAGGTGTCGCAGGTTGGCAAAAGCTGCTTCAGCTTTCGCTATTCGTGATGTGGTCTCCTATCCAACATCGAAACCAGCTGCCTATGAGCTACTGAGGTACCTTAAGCTATCAACTACCTCTAGTAGATCACGATAAATAGTGAAAACAGACAGGTTTCGGCCAATCTTGTGCAAGCCCTCTGCACTTATGTGGTTTTAAGCACATATCATATCTGGATACCTCGAGCTCCAAGCAATTAAATATATGTTGAACTGGTTCTTCTTTGTCACCCAGCAAGGCGATGTCATCGACATAATCTGAGTGTAGAATTCTGTTTCCTGGGAGGAGTTTTATTACCCTGTTTGCTCGACGGAACAAAGTATTCCCAAGAACTTCACCCATAGATATCTAAAGAGGAGTAGAGCTGTAAAGTAGCCTTGTCCGACTCCACTGGAGATCACGAAGAGTGACCAAAGTTGGTCTTTGGTCATTACTCCACGTGAGTTATGACGATCAAACCCTTTATGGATCGATACATACACCTCAGATACATCATTCCTCAACAAACATTTCTGTAATGTGTTCCGACCGACAGAAATAGAGGCCACGTGAATTCCACTTCATCTGTTCTCCGATCTTGGCAATTTGTTTGCAAACGTTTCATCATCAGCCGAAGTGTAATCGTCAGTACTTGTGAAGTGATAGTATTCTTCTTGTACCCGTTCGTTTATATATGTTTTCTTCTCCACAGACTACTTTTGTCCCTTGTTCTCACTATGTCCGACTCGATTTGCCGTTGAACTGGTGTGATGAGGTGATGGTGGGAGGGAAGGGAGTTGTCCTTCCGTCCGGATTGCGGTATTGATCAGTTTTCAGGTCACGATCTGATATTTGTGTTGCGTCATTCGATCCTTGAGTTGCGTTGGCGTCTACACATGATTCAGTTCGATGTGCCTGTTTATTGAGGTGATTAAAGACTGCCAAGCCTAGAGAAATTCTCCGGCGTGTTTTGGCCGGGCTTGGTCGATAATTCACCGATTCGAAATCAAACAGATGACCTTCTTAATCTTCGTGGAGGAAAATCAATGAAAAAGGGTCATGCTTCCTCATTGCCGATTGGTTTTCATAGAACCTTGTTGATAATTTTCTTCCAGTTTGTCCGATTTAGTGTTTTGGGCAGTTCTTACAGTCTTTTTGTAGGTAACTTTACTCTTGTTCTTCTCCATTGTTCTCTCCTTTGGTTTTGAGATGAGTCCCCTTAGACAGTCGGTAGGTTTGTGGAACTTGTGGACTTGGATTTCATATGATCTAAGAGGTCTTGCAGACATTTCCGAAACGTCCTTGATGAAAGACAGAATCTTTTTTCCGGATAATCTGTCTGTCTTTTATTTCCTGCTTTAATTCAAACTTATTTTCTTGCAGTAATGGGTGTAGCCATCACCTTGGAGAGGTGTCTTTCTTCTTTCTTCTTGAGTATGTCGGTGCTGCATTGCGTTTGGATTCTTCCGAACAGAATCCTAGCGTAGCATCTTTTGTGGCTTTGTGGATGATTACGTTTAAAGTTTAGGATTTGGTCCGTATGCGTTGCTTTGCGGTAGACCACCGTCTCCAGTTTTACTGATGGCGTTCTGATGATCAAGATGACGAATCTATCATCAGCGTATCGGGGCAAAAGTTTTAAGCTTATTCTAGGTAGTATCTTCTCCAGCCTCTGCATTACGGTTCCGGCTATGAATCCGGAAATCGGTAATTCCATTGGCGTTCCTTCCAGCTGTTGTTAGATTTCGCCCTAGAATTTGAAGTACTTCTACATGCATAGTTACATGACTTGCAGATGGATGCTGGTTCTATTGGGTGGTTTGGTGGATGGTCAATTATGGATTCCCGAAACGTGGAGCTTGCTAGGTCCCAATCGATCGAAGTGA